TCATTGTAATAAGTGCATTAAAATAAAAGAAGTCAAAGGGTTGCATTTGCATAAACAACCCAAGGTGAGCGTGTGGGATCAGTTAAACACAAAGAGGACTCAGCTAGTTGATCATAATGAAGAACTAATAACCAGTCTGTCCTCCAGGCAGAGACCCTCGGGTGTGATGGTTGAGGCCCCGAAGTCATGAGTAGCCAACCTGACCTGGGTTCTCTGCACATTCCTCCTTCTCCCTGGGTGGTGGGCACGTTTGGGAAGCTTTATGTTCATTCATCCTCACCGATGTGGGATTATCCTCCCCGTTTTCCACATGAAGAAACTGAGTCATGAGCTGGAGTCACTTCATTCCCAGCAGTGTGGCCTTGGTCCAGGTGTCTAACCCCACTGTGCCTTCTTTTTCTCCCCTTAATTAGGACGAATGCTGCCTGCTTAGTCCTTTTGGAGAGGATGGGGGACACAGGGTGTGTGAAGGGCCAGGGTATGAGGTCCATGGATGCTGGGGATGCGATGATTATTCTGCACATATTTGCCTAGAAAGCTCTCAGGATTGGTTTTATAGGAGAGGAACCTGGGTTTGGATTTTGAAATCTCTGGTCTCCAGGGAAAGGAGAGGAGGGCTGAGCCCTCCCCTGGGCAGGTAAAGAGTTAGGGGGAAGGTGAGGTGTGATATCTCATGTTCACAGAGGGGTGGATGGATAAAGAAAGGGTGGTATATCCATACAATGGGATCTTATTCAACCTTTAAGAAAAGGAAGTCCAGCCCTTTATGAGAACATGGAGGAACCTTGTGCTGAGTGACATAAGCCAGTCCTAGCAGGACACATACTGCACAGTACCACTTAGGCGAGGAATCTGAAATAGTCAAATTCATCGAAGCAGAAAGTAGAATGGTGGTTTCCGGGGGCTGGCGAGGAGCAAAGTGGGGAGATACTGATCACAAATTCTTAGTTATACAAGATGAGCACATTCCAGAGGTCTTCTGTACTGCGTCGTGCCTACAGGTAGCAGTATATCGTTCTGTGCTCTTAAACATGTGTTGAAGGTAAATGTGTTAAGTGTTCTTCGCACAATAAAATTTAAAACCGGAAGAGGGGGAAGGGGCAGGATAAACCGGATACTAGAGAAAACAGTACCGACTCAGGGTGACAGGAGGTGTCAGGCCTCCGGATGATGCCTGATGCTCCCTGACTGCCTCTCTCCGACTTTTCTGGAAGCTGTCCGATGTCTGTGAGCTCTCTATTCCAGAAGACTAAATATTTCCCTTCCCGCACACTGGGACCTTCAGACTTCCTGCGGCAGCTGAGTGGCGTCTGGGGCCAGCGGAAGGCCACGGGGCCACACGGAGGCAATCACCCCCATCGTGGGGCCTCTCTGAGTAGACGACGTGTATACATCAGGAGTCGTGTTAGAACTGATGGCCACGCCTGGTCCTGGTATCAGAAATTAGCCAGAGGCATCGGCTGTTCTCAGATGGTCAAATGAGCTTCATCTATGGCAGTGTTTCCTGTGCCTGGTTTAGCTGAGGTTCTGCCAGGAAGTGCTCACACACGTGAGCTTTTGAAATCAGTGGTTTATAGAGGTTTTCTGCTCAGGGGGCCAAATTGCAATCCTCAGTTAATGAGGAAAGAGAACAGCCCAAGAATAATACTCAGGATGTGTCTGATGAGAGAGGGTGCAGATGGCTGTAAGGACAGGGGCTCTTCTGCGTACTCTCTGCCCTCTCGTTAACTTCGGAAAAAAACCCAAAATGGGCTCGGGGACAGAATTTAAATTCATATTCTTGGACAGCGGGCATCATTGAACTGATTTTCTGTCTGTTAGAGTCAGAGAAAAAGGCTTTTGTACCAGAGGACAGCTGGAAGGAAGAAAGCAGATCAGGTTGGCTCCTGTATTAATCAGGATGAGCTAGATTGTGCTGCAGTAACAGAGATCCTCAAATCTCAGTGACAGAAATTGACAGAGATTTATTTCTGCCCCTGGCTGGGAGGGGGAGTCTCTTCTCCACACTGGCCTCACTCAGGGCTACAGGAACTTCACTATCAGGAGTGTGGCTGGATGCTATGGGGGAAAGGGGATGTGGCAAATCATGCCCTGGCTTCTGTCACTTGTCTTGGCCACACCAAGTTGCTTGGCTGTGCCTGATTTTCAGGGGATGGGAAATATAATCCTATCATGTGCCTAGAAGGAAGAGGACTGAAATATTTGTCGAGCACTTTATTGAATACCATCCCTGCCCCTGCTTCCAACTCCATCCCTACCTAAGCTATATGAGCAAACAGCAAGATACCCCTCCCTCCTCCCCATAGAGAAGTGGGGGCTCAATGCTCCTTGTTTACCTCTCAGCCAAACGGAAGAGACACTGTACTATAGCAAGTTTGAGAATCAGACGGGTGCAAGTTCCCTTCCACCCCCAGATGACTTTGAGCAAGTTACTGAACATCCCCAAGCATTTTCCCTTCCCTGTAAGATGGGAATACTATTACCTTCTTGGAAGTTATTTCTGAAGGTCAAATGAGATATCACATATAAAGACTTGGCATGGTGCGTGGTGCCTGCTATGTGCTCAAGAACATTGTAAGAACACATCGGCTCCTCTTTCTGTTAAATACGAGGAGCGCACCTCCTCATGGGGTGATTGTTGCTATCCAGTAAGTCATACCTGTGACTCACTTAGTTTGTGGTGCCGGCTCATGTCAGTGCTCAGGGAGCGCGTCTGAGGGGCTGCTTAGGGTTCCTCAAGGACCTCTGGGCAGAAAGAAGAGAAAAGAGGACTATCAGTGAGTGGGGTTCAAGAACAGACATGGAGCCTCACTGAGGGGGGTTTCTTGCAAGTCTGTGTGGGGAATTAAAAAAGACCTGAACCAGGTGTCAGAACTGGAAGGTCCCCGTCACCAACAAAGATACAACATCGGCTCCTGTGTGTGATCAGCAACCGCTCTGTGACTCGATACAGACTCAGCTCTCCCTTCGTGGCATCTCTTTATTTCCTTCTACCTTCCCCGTGGCCCCCCAGCTCCTGCGCCTCAAGCTCCCGGTGCTTCGTGGCCCCTACTTACTGTCTTCTCCCTTTCTGTGATTCCCTGCCTCCTGATGGCTGTTTGCAGGTGACATGCTTATCCCAGATGCACTTATCTGGGTGGGAGTAGATGGGAAGGGAGCCAGATCTTGTGGTACAAAGCCAGGCTGCAGCGGTTAAGAGGACAGGGTAATGGAACGGGTAGCCCAGGGCATGAGGTCTGTGGTTTGCTACGTTACCTTGTGCACATCACTTGTTAGCTGGTGCTCAGTTCCCTCACCTGTATAATGAAAATAACAATATTCACCTTACAGAATGGCCATGCGGGATCTCGGGGTCAGCTGTCATTCTTACAGCCTCTCCGATTGGAGAAATCAGTGCTTGATGCCAGGGGACACGGGGCAAACAAAAAAGGGCAGCCACAATGGGGCTGCTTCTCCAGAGCACTGCTGAGCCAAACGGGGCAGTGGGGGCACAGCCAACTACACCAAGTCCCGGGGAGGGGGCCTTCTAAACTCACACTCCTGGAGAGCTGGAGTCTGCACTTTCTTCTTCTCCTCCTCCTCCTCCTCCTCCTCCTCCTTCTCCTCCTTCTCCTCCTTCTCCTCCTCCTCTTCCCCCCTCCCCTGGGCATGTGCCTGGACCAGGAATGGAACTGGCAACCCCTCGCTGCACTGAACAATGCCCAACCACCTGAGCCACACCTGCCAGGGTTCATCACTGGTCTGCCACTCTTTCTTAAAGGGCCAGATAGAAGTATTTTAGGCTTTGCAGGCCAGACAGTCTCTATTGCAACTGCTCACCTCTGCTGTTGTGGCAGCCCTAGATAATTCATAAATGAACAGGCATCCCCACGTTTCAATAAAAGTTTATTTACAAAAACAAGTGGCAGGTGGGAATTGGCCCGCTGAGTAGTTTTGCAACCTGCCAGAGGAGGAGGCACGCTGAGTTTCAGCCTCCCGGGCTCCAGCGCTGCTTCCACTGTCCATCCCGACCATTCCCGTCCTCGGGAGCCGTTGGAGGCGCATTTAGGAGAACTCACGGGGAAGTCTTCCCTCAGAGTTTCTACAGCAACGCGTTCAATGCATTTCTGCAGCAACGGCGTAGATTTGTGGAACCAATTAGTGTTCCCTGTGGCTTCCGAGGTCTCCCGGAGGGCTCGCTTTAGGACCGTGGGTACTCTTTCAGGTTAAGGCCTTGGCAGTGGGTGTTCGCAGGAGCGACATGCTTTAGAGATGACCCGGGGAGGAGCTGAGTATGGGGCACCCGCTTTCCTGGAAAGATGCGCCCTGCGCATTGTCTCCTGAATGACTCCTGGCCCTTCTCTTGAAACCCAGGCGACTTCATCAGTTCTGCCCCAGGTAGAGACATGGAGAGCCCAAGCTCAAACACAGGAGTGTCGCAGGTCTGCGTCTCCGCTGGGATTCATTGCAAGGACCGTTCGTCCTCCAAAACACCCAGGGACGGCTCTCCTTCGGAACTGACGCTGGCGCTGTCTTATTTCTCTTATGGCCATAGCTCTATGAAACATCCTAAAGGCAGTGGCATGTATATAATATTCTACCGATACTCTCTCCCTTTATAACTTTATTATGGCATTGCCAGCCCTTAAATAAACCATCAAGGCACTCTCTGCTGGAATTTAAACAGGAAGCTGGAACAAAGTGCCCTAATCCAGTGGCAGAGACAGTCCAGGAAACTTCCTTGAAAGGGAGTATGGTTCATAAGAAGCCTTGGGACTCACAGGCATAGCACTTTAGGGCCTGCAGAAGCCTTCCTTTCTAGTTGGAGCATCTCATGTTTCCAGATGGGGAAACTGAGGTCCAGAGAGAAAAGTCTTACCTGAAGGTAAGCTCTTGGCAAAGGCAGGGACTGAAACCAGGGTGCAGACTCCCACACCTCTGTGCCCCTCTCTTCCGAGGACCAGCCTACATAGCGTGATCGCTCAGTAAAGTTTCTCTTCCCTCTTTCCCACCTCCTCCAGGACGGCTACTTCTCTCACCGGCCCAAAGAGAAAGTGCGGACAGACAGCAACAACGAGAACTCGGTCCCCAAAGATTTTGAGAATGTGGACAACAGCAACTTCGCCCCGAGGACTCAGAAGCAGAAGCACCAGCCTGAGCTGGCGAAGAAGCCCCTGAGCAGGCAGAAAGAGCTTTTGAAAAGGAAGCTGGAGCAGGAGAAGGGGAAGGGGCACTCCATCCCGGGCAAAGGCGCCAACGAGGTGCTGCCGCCGGGCGAGAGAGCCGCAGGGAACAGCAGCCGTGGGAAGGAGGCCCCCCGACAGCCCCACGCCAGGAAAAGTGGGGGCAGCTCCCCGGAGATCAAGTATGACCAGCCCCCCAAGTGCGACATCTCGGGCAAGGAGGCCATCTCCGCCCTGTCCCGCTCCAAGTCCAAGCACTGCCGCCAGGAGATCGGGGAGACCTACTGCCGCCACAAGCTGGGGCTGCTGATGCCGGAGAAGGTGACTCGCTTCTGCCCGCTGGAAGGTAAGCTCCGGGCCCCCGAGGCCGGGAGAGGCGCCTCCTCTCCAACTCTCCCTCCTTCCCAGCCCCCTTCTGCTCACATTCTCAGACCTGCTGAGACCCTGGTTTTCAAACCCCAAATCAGGTCACAAGACCTGACTTCTTTGGTACCCCCTGAATTCTGAAGTTTCCCACGGAAAAGTATTTCGGAATCAAATTACCTTTTGTTATAGCTTTAACCAGGTGCCTTTATGGCAAAGGAGGAAATACAGTGAAGTCAGGCTCATGTGGCGGCTGCAGAAGGCGAGGTGACGATGCCGATAGAGTTGGTTTTCTGTCTCAGCAGAATATCGGGATTAAAATTGACACGGATATTATTATAACTGAATATGATCCGAACGGTTTCTAATTGGTTGCATTGACTTTGGAGGCTCTGAAAATCAACCTTCCCGTTTTCCTCCATCTAAAATTCCTTCCTTCCACCCCTTCCTCCTTCCTAAATTTTCCTCGTTTTCTTCCTATTTTCTTTCTTCCTCATTTCCTGTTCCTCCTTCCCCCTCCCTGTCTCTCTCTCTCCCCAGAGCCGCAGGGAACAGCAGCCGTGGGAAGGAGGCCCCCCGACAGCCCCACGCCAGGAAAAGTGGGGGCAGCTCCCCGGAGATCAAGTATGACCAGCCCCCCAAGTGCGACATCTCGGGCAAGGAGGCCATCTCCGCCCTGTCCCGCTCCAAGTCCAAGCACTGCCGCCAGGAGATCGGGGAGACCTACTGCCGCCACAAGCTGGGGCTGCTGATGCCGGAGAAGGTGACTCGCTTCTGCCCGCTGGAAGGTAAGCTCCGGGCCCCCGAGGCCGGGAGAGGCGCCTCCTCTCCAACTCTCCCTCCTTCCCAGCCCCCTTCTGCTCACATTCTCAGACCTGCTGAGACCCTGGTTTTCAAACCCCAAATCAGGTCACAAGACCTGACTTCTTTGGTACCCCCTGAATTCTGAAGTTTCCCACGGAAAAGTATTTCGGAATCAAATTACCTTTTGTTATAGCTTTAACCAGGTGCCTTTATGGCAAAGGAGGAAATACAGTGAAGTCAGGCTCATGTGGCGGCTGCAGAAGGCGAGGTGACGATGCCGACAGAGTTGGTTTTCTGTCTCAGCAGAATATCGGGATTAAAATTGACACGGATATTATTGTAACTGAATATGATCCGAACGGTTTCTAATTGGTTGCATTGACTTTGGAGGCTCTGACAATCAACCTTCCCATTTTCCTCCATCTAAAATTCCTTCCTTCCTTCCGCCCCTTTCTCCTTCCTAAATTTTCCTCGTTTTCTTCCTATTTTCTAAATCAACCTTCCCGTTTTCCTCCATCTAAAATTCCTTCCTTCCACCCCTTCCTCCTTCCTAAATTTTCCTCGTTTTCTTCCTATTTTCTTTCTTCCTCATTTCCTGTTCCTCCTTCCCCCTCCCTGTCTCTCTCTCTCCCCCCTGCCCTGAGCTGAACACTTCTGTGTGTGTGCCGGTGACCAGTGATGAACCAGAGCTCTTGCTGTGAGAGGTCAGAGCTCTAACAGAGGCGCTGTGTTGGGACAGAAGTCAGAGCGTCAGGAAAGCAGCCACAGAGCTGATCCAGGCGGTGAGGTGGGGAGGCGGGGGGCTCTCGGTCCCCCTGGCAGTGGTGGGCCTAGAGGCCAGGCAAGGAAGACTTTGCCAAGCGGCCTCCCTCTTCTGAGCAGCTACTGTGCCCCTGCATCTCTCCTGATGCAGAAGGGAGATGCGTGGTGAGAATGGCTCCCAGGGAACAGCAGGCTAGAGAAAGCTCAATGCCGTTTATTCACCGGACAGACGGCAATGCGAGGCCCATGGAGGGAAGGAGACTTATCCAGAGTTACCCACTGAACCAGAGGCTGAACTTGAGCTAGAATCCAGGCCTCCTCTTTTCAGACGGGAGCCTCTCTATTTACTGCTGGTCCCAGAATGAAGGATTGGGATCAGGTTGGGAGCAGCCCCGTGTGCCAAGGGCACAGAGAGGCCTGGAAGGACACATGGCCAGCTCTCCAGGTGGCCCCCTGAGTGAGGTGCAGTGGGGACAACTCCAACATTTTACTCAAGTTTGTCTGTATTTTCTTAGTTTTCCGTGTTTTCGCTTTCCGAGGTTTCAGTTACCTGCAGTCAACCAAGGTCTGAAAATATTGGAAATAATGGGAAATTCCAGAAATTCATGAGTTTTAAATTGTGCGCCGTTCTGAGTAGCATGATGAAATCTCACGCTGGCCCCATACATCCCACCCAGGACGTGAGTCACCGCTCCGTGCAGCACGTCCTCACTGTATATTAGTCACTCAGTGGCCATCTGGGTTATCAGAGCTACTGTCCTGGTCTCGCTTATGTCCAAGTTATTCTTATTTTACTTAATAATACCACATTCACATAACCTTGATTACATTGTTATAATTGTTCTATTTTATTGTTGTTGTTAATCTCTTACTGTGCCTAATTCATAAATTAAACTTTACCATAAGTATGTATGTATAGGAAAGAGCATAGCATATATAGGGTTCAGTACTCTGCAGTTTCAGGCATCCACTGGGGGTCTTGGATAAGGGGGTACTACTGTACTAGTATATCGGACACTGTTCTCACCTTATATTGCAATGAATCCTCACATTTGCCTATGGCAGCGGTTCTCAACCTGTGGGTCGAGACCCCTTTGGCGGTCGAACGACCCTTTCACAGGGGTCGCCTAAGACATCCTGCATATCAGATATTTACATGACGATTCATAACAGTAGCAACATGACAGTTATGAAGTAGCAACGAAAATAATTTTATGGTTGGGTCACAACATGAGGAACTATATTTAAAGGGCCAGAAGGTTGAGAACTACTGGCTATGGGGTAGATCTGTTATCAACCCATTTTGTTGATGAAGAAACTGAGGCTTAGAGAGGTTGAATACTTGGCCAGAGGAGCACAGCTAGTGGATGGCAGAGCTGGGCTTAGAACTCAGGTTTGAGAGTGTGCATCCTTTTCCAGAGCCTCTCCCTCTTCTGGAGGCTAAAGCTTCCACTTTAGCTCAGATTGCCAAATCTCAGGGATGTCCTACAGCCTGCAGACTGTATCTCTCTGTCATCAGTTAGTTGCAAGAAGAAGAGAGGGCATTAATGGGGAGAAACGGGGGATGTCCCCAGCGGAGGCCAAGGGTTCCCATGCTTCTCCTGGTCATACTGAGTCACCCCTAGTGTGGTTTTTCAGTGTGAATTTTCTGGGGGTTCCCTGTGGCCTTTGCTGCATCAGCCAAGGTGGCACAGCCTCCGGGACTGTTAATAAGATTGGCATTTAAGAGCCATTGCACACCCAGCCCCGGCAATGCTTTAATTTGCTGCACCACAGCCTCCCCTTTTGCAATAAATTTAGTGTGAATAGACTAATTGCAAAATAACCCTAATTGGATAGTTATCAATGAACAAGTTCCCGTGGAACAAAACGGCTTACAATTAATAGCATTTAAGCCATAAACTATTCTTCTGCAGAAAGCTAAGATGTAATTACACCCCACACGGAGATTGTGTTCCCTTTCTGGAAACTGTGACACCCAGATTTGCCTCTGCTTAGGAAGGATTTGAGCTCCAGCCCACTGGTCCTTTTATTTCCTGCTAAATGAAGAAATGAAAGTGGGAGGGGAGAGAAATTTAATACATGCATACATATACATAACGCACACGTGTGCATACACAGATGTACGCACTGTGCTTGTCATTTTGCTGAGTTCAGCGTCGCCCAAACCTCAGCCAATATGATGCCAGAAGTTGAATATAATTAAGGAAGCAATTCCTCTTGGCCTGAGGACTGAAAATTTCAGAAGAAAGAAAATAGATTTGATTTTATTTATTTTTATTTATTTTGTTAATCTTCACCCAAGGATATTTTTCCATTGATTTTTAGAGAGAGTGGAAGGGAGGGGAAGAGACACAGAGAGAAACATTGATGTGAGAGAGACACATTGATTGGTTGCCTCCTGCACACGTCCCAACCAGGGCTGGGGACCAAACCTACAACTGAGGTAGGCAATCGAACCCGGGACCCTTCAGTCCACGGCCAATGCTCTATCCAATGAGTTAAACTGGCTAAGGCAAGAAAATAGATTTTAAATGTTGACTTTTATAAAGGATTCCTGCTCCTCCCACCCCCAGCACCTCCTGTCCCCTCGCCCAGCACCACTCGGAGAAAAAGAAGAGTCTAGAAGCCCAGGAGACGGTTTGCTTCCTGTGAACACAGTGCTGGTGTTTGTGACTTGGCCACTTCTCAGCCTCCCAGAAAAAGAAGCTGGAGTGGGGACGGCTTTCACCAGGAAAGGAGGGATCTCCAGACCGTCCATTAACAACCCCTCGAGTGAGATGTAGTGAGGTTGGGCGGGGTGGCCCCAGGTGGGCTTATTTCCAATCCAAGTGCGGGCCCTCATTCCTCCCAGAGCCCCTGTGCTCACTGTAGCAGCCAAGCCGCCAACGCCCCCCCCCATTCTCCACCCAGGCAGCTCTGCACCCCGCTAGCTCCCACAGTTGTCTGGGCCTCCTGTCCCTTCCTTGGGCTCCATACTCACCTGAGGGCCTTCAGTCACCCCAGCTGGACCTCCCAATGGTTCATGGAAATGAAACCTTGTCAGCTGGAAAGCCAATGGAGGCCTGGGCTGGAAAAAGATGTTTTCCATCCAGAGATCTTCAGGCCCTGGGTTTTGAATCCTGGTTCTGCATTTACTAGCTGTGTGGCCCTCCCCTCCCCGTGCCTCAGCTTCCTCATCTGTAAAATGGACACAAATTCTCGTACCTTATCCTCATAGGACTGTGGCTGAAATGGGATCGTACATATAAAATGCTTGGTGTAGAGGGGGCTCCAGTAAAGCAGATGTGCCTGGCTGTTGGCAGTAGTGAGCTTAGCAGTATACATGACGGGGGCACGGAGAAGAGAAGAGAAGAAGGCCGGCTCCGATGGTGCCCTCCCATTGCCTAGCCACGTCTCTCGCTCTGTTCTTCAGATGTGGCCCCATGTGCCTCAGGCATTCCCTCATAGTGCCCGCCCCCCACTCCATCCCACCTTGTCTGGCTGTCACCGCTTTTTACTCCAGATTGTAGCCCTCAATGCCACCTCCTCAGGTGGCCTTCCCAGACCACACCTCCCCCAGACGCCCTGGCCACAGGGGACACACTGACCCGCGTGAGGGACAGAGGTGGCTTTCCCAATAAGTATCTTTCCTAATAAAGACCGTTCGACCGTAAGAGGCATGCTGGTGCCAGGAGCTAGGTAATGCAGCTTCTCCTGCCTCATTACCTTTGGAACACATTAGGAAGCTCCCTCCATCTTGAGTTAAAATGTGCCAAGAAAGGCCCCACTGGTTATCCTGGTCCCTCCCGCCCTTATTCACCCTGCTCTGTGCCAGCTGACACTGGGACTGCAGCCCCGATGCCAGGTGAAGAATGCGAGATGAGCAGTGTGAGAAGTTGTGGAGAAAGCAGTGGGCTGGGAGCGGGGTGGCTGCCGCCTTAGGGGGAGCTCGGGGCGAGCAGCTGAGGAGGCAACAGTTCTCCAGTGAGTGATGAGCGAGGACTCGGAATCAGCTGGCTGGCTGCAGGGCTACAAGCTTTCGCACAGGACAGAGGGAAGCCGGCTCAGGGTCAGAGTGAGGGTGGACAGAAAGGGGGTTTCTGATAGAAAGGCAACTGTCCGTGTCTTTACCCAGCAGCCTCTGCGTGAGGCCAGAGGCCCTGGACAAATGGGCTCTGGACGGAGGTGGCTGCGGGGAGCTGGCCGCCGCTGCAGAGAGAGGCTGGCAGATGGCACCGCC